CAACCTAGACAGCATATTAAAAAGCAGAGACATTACTTTGTCAACAAAGGTCCATCTAGTCAAGGCTATCGTTTTTCCAGTAGTCACATATGGATGTGAGTTGGACTATAAAGAAAGCTGAGTGCTGAAGAATTGGTGCTTTTGAACTGTGGTGTTGGAGAAGACTCTCGAGAGTCCCTTGTACTGCAAGGAGATCCAACCAGTCCATCCTAAAGGAGATCAGTCCTGGGTGTTCATTGGAAGGACTGATGTTGAAGCTGAAACTCCAATACTTTGGCCACTTGATGCAAAGAGCTGACTCATTTGAAAAGACCCTGATGCTAGGAAAGATTGAGGGCAGGAGGAGAAGGGGATGACAGAGGATGAGATGGTTGGATGGCATCACCGACTCAATGGACATGAGTTTGGGTGGACTCTGGGAGTTGGTGATGGACAGGGAGGCCTGGCATGCTGCGGCTCATGGGGTCGCAAAGAGTCGGACACGCCTGAGCGACTGAGCTGAACTGACGAACTGCGGGGACTGTGTTGGACAAGACTGAGCGACTGAGCTGACGAACTGCGGGGACAGTGTTGGAAAGACTGAGCGACTGAGCTGACGAACTGCGGGGACAGTGTTGGAAAGACTGAGCGACTGAACTGACAAACTGCGGGGACAGTGTTGGACAAGACTGAGCGACTGAGCTGACGAGCTGCGGGGACAGTGTTCCAGGCAGAGAGAACAACATGTGCAGCTCTCCCCAAGGCAAGAGAAGCCAGGCAGAGGGTGAGGCATCGGGGATGGGGAGGGGCGAGGCCGGGGCGGCCGGCTGCCCAGCTGTGGGTCACTCCTGGCTTTTGGCTTGGGGAGCCCGGTGGAGTCTGGGCTTTGTCCTGAGGAGGCGGTGGGAGGTATCTAAGGAGAATGATGTGCTCAGACTTTCCCTGTCTGTGTGGCTGGGCTCTTGGGTGGGGTGTGGTGGGTGTGGAAAGCCATAGGGCCTGATGATAAAAATATAATCAGTCTTCTGTGAAATCTGCCCTGTAGCAAGCCCAGCTCTAAGCACATTTCATGTACTAACCTGTAATCCTCATAACAACCCTTTGCAATGGGTTCCACTTTATCCTTTCATAGATGGGGAAACGAGGCACAGACAGGTTAAGTGACTTGTCCAGGATCACACAGCTGGTGAGTGGCAGAATCTGAACCCAGGGTCAGGGCTTTTTAGCCCCTGGACTTGGTCCTGATGCTCCAGGGTAAGCTTGGACGTTGCCTCTGCACTCTGAGCCTCGGGTTGCTCACCTTCAAAATGTCTGTGGCTATTGTGTGAGTGAGAGATAGGAAAGGCCTTGGACAAGAAGGGCTCTGACAGATGTCACTGTCACTGTGATTAGTTGGTGGGTTCTGGGTAGGCAGAGAAGGCGCTCCAGGGACGGTGCCCTGGGCGTTGTTACAAGCGGTCCTCCTTTGTTCCGTGTCTGGTTGCTTTTCAGCAAAGCCTTATCTCTTTGGGGCCCAGGCCGACCCGCCTGCCTTATCCTGTTCCTTCACCTTCAGCCGTTGGTCTGGAGGCCATTTCCCCACGTCAGAGAAAGGAGGTGGCGGGCACCCCGGAGGCAGGCATCTGGGGCACGGGGCCACTGTGGCCTCTGGCCTTGAGGTCAGGGACGGGGTGGACTGTAGCCCAACACCTGTGTGTCTGGAGAGAGTTGGCCTGGCAGTGGTGGTGGGAAATTGAATTTCCTGCCCATCTGGGTGGCAGCTGTGGTGTGGCCTTTCTGGCCAGCCCGCCAGAGCCTTGCAGGGCTGAGGACAGGGGGCACTGTGCCCAATTCCTGCTGTTCGGCTGGGAACTGGCTTCCTGGAGGTATCGGTGGTGGGGGGCGGGGGTGGTGTACAGAAAGGAGGGCAGCCTTCCTCTGACCAGCCTTTGGGGGTCTCTCCCCTCTGGGCCTGGCATCTGGCAGACAAGAGTCCTGGATCGAGGTCCAGGGCCTGCTGTTTGTTTGGCCAAGTCATTTACCTTCCTGGGCCTCACCTTCCTCATCTGTAAAATGGGGCTGCTGATGACCGAGGCTTATTCACAAGGTCCTTGAGAGATTTAATGAGAATGTGCTTCACTCAGGACTTGATTGAAAGAAATACTCAGTGTACAGGAGGTCATGCCAGGTGACAAGGGCCTGGTGTGGCAGAGTGAGACGGAGTGGTTGTCACGTGGCTGGTGACCAGGCTACATGGCAGTACCCCAGTGCCCCCAGTCCCCCGATCCCCTGTCACCCCCAGAGCTCAATGCTCTTTCTACTATTTTAAAACTGCTCTGACCTAAGTTCCCTTTGTCCTGCTGGTTTCTCTTGAAATGGATGTTCACTCAGCCCTCTTTCCTTCTTTATTTTTAGGATTTTTATTTACTAGGCTGCATCGGATCTTAGTTGTGGCACGCAGGTTGTGCATTGCGGTGTGCGGGCTTCTCTAGTTGTGGCATATGGGCTCAGCAGTTACGGTGTTTGGGCTTTGTTGGCCCACGGCATGTGGGATCTTAGTTCCTCAGCCAGGGACTGACCCTGCATCCTCTGCATGCCAAGGCAGATTCATAACCACTGGACCACCAGGGAAGTCCCCACTCAGCCCTCTTTCTATCATCTCATTTTCGTCTCTGCTTCTTATTCCTGACTTGGAAGCACTTGGTTGCTGGGTGGATGAGCAGGGGAGCGGCGGGCGTGCGTCTGTGAAAGCAAAGCCCCTCCGGCCAGCCAAGGGGAGCAGGAGAGAAACACAGCTGGGCTCTGGGGCCAGCATCCGGGCTGCTACTCCATCAGGCAAGGGCCCGGAGCCCATGACCCTTTTAGGACTGCTGGACAGGGCTCTGCTTTTAATTTCTTTTGCCATCAGGAGAAAAAAAAAAGTGAAGAATAATAAGTAGATGAAAATGAACCCAGCCTGGATAGTATTTGTCTTTATAAACAGTCATAAAATACAGTTTAAGATTTTTTTTTTTTAGGGAGGAGAGTCATCCTGTACTTCTGGCCAGTGGAGCTGAGGCTCCAGGCTCCACCGCAGGGTCTTTCTGTGGGGAAAGGGGTCTTCCCAGGAGGGGCTGTGGCAGCCATCCCCAGCCCTGTCTCCTTCCAAGAGACCCTAGAATCCCTCTATAAGCAGGGCAGGGCCTGAGGCCAGCCCCTCCCGTGGTCACCCTGCCCATCGGCCGAGTCTTTGGGCCTGGGTCCCCCGCCCTACTTCTGGCCAGGCTGAGTCAAGACTGATTAGAGCTCCGTTTCTCAAGCTGGCACATCCCCACAAGCTCTGACTCAGGGCCCTGGGCCTGGGAACTGGGAGGATGGTGGAGGAGACTGGGGGACTGAAGGGTCTCCAGATGATGATAAAGAACCCTAGAACTTTAAGGTACTGGAACTGGGGAGAATATAGTTATCTCTTTCTGGAGGGGGATCCGAGGTCCAGAGTGGTGAAGGGGTTCATCTACGGGTGTCCAGTGGGGCAGAGGCCATGAAGCGGGGGTGGGGAGCGGCCCTGCCCAGGCTTCAGGCCTTCAGGCTGGTGGCCTTGCCCGGGGGGCCAAGTAAGAGGAAGTCATCACCTCTGTCCATGTCACTTCCTTGGAGGATCCCCGGGGGTGGAGGGAATAGCTCATCAGTGCTGTTACGTCTCAGCTGTGGCCACACCCTCCTGTCCTGCCCCCTCCCAGGCCTGTGGCTGGCATCCTTCACGGGGCAGTTTTCTCTTCCTGGGTGCTTCTGGTTCCCCACACAGAGCTGCCTCCCTGCAAACGCACTGCAGCTGTCAGATGATGAGATTACAGAACGTGGCGGCTGCCGTGTGTCTAGCTGTCTCGGGGCACGCACAGCTCCTGCCCCGTAAACCTGCTCAAGGTCGAGGCAAACGGGGCCGTTCCTGGGAAAACCTGGTGGCTGTGGAACCAGCTCACGGTCCCTCCCTGCAGAGGGGCACCTGAGAGTCTGAGGAGGGGGCTTGGAGCCTGAAAGCAGAGGTGGCTTAGCCTTGGGGATGGGACCCTGGGAAGGCCATGGGGCTGGCAGCCCACCCCACCCCCAGACGCTGAAGGACAAGCGTGGAGCCCACGGGGGCCCAGCTTTGCATCTCAGTCCCCCATCTGCACAGTAAAGGGGCAGAGGACCCCCGGCTCTGGTGCGCAGGGTTCTGGGGTCCCAAGTTGCTGCAGCCCGTGGGGTTGCAAAGAGTTGGGCATGACTTAGTGACCAAATGACAACAACAAACTGGGGTTGTGAGAATATCCACTTCGTGAGTTTATTGAGACCATGAATGAAGTCATGTTTCTAAAGTACCACCATCATGCCTGTCACTGAGTAGGCATTCCATATGCTACGCTTTGATGTGACATGAAAGTCACTCATTCATGTCCAACTCTGTGACCCCATGGACCACACAGTCCATGGCATTCTCCAGGTCAGAATACTGGAGTGGGTAGCCTTTCCCTTCTCCAGGGGATCTTCCCGACCCAGGAATCGAACCAGGGTCTCCTGCATTGCAGGAGGAGCTATCAGGGAAGACCAGAACCCTTTGATAGTTGCTTACTATTATAAGTCAACTGTCCCTTCTTGGGGAGGGAAGTGAAGTTCAGGATTGGGAGGAGAATGGGAAGGAGGGTGTGCTTTTTAGTACCCCACAGTTAGGAGGAAAAGTGGGACTCTTTGGCTATGGAAGAAGAGGGTCAAGGGGCAGCATGAGAAAAATGGGGAGTGGGAGGCTTGCGGGAGGAGGGAGCTTTGAGTTGGGCCCTGCAGTGCGCTGCGTAGAGCTGAGGAGGCAGGCTCTGGGGTACCTGGCCCTGGTGCTACCTACTCAGGGTGGGGAGAGGGGAATGAGAAAGCTGTATCCCCAGGGCCAGGGCTTTGCAGTACCAGTGACCCCATCTGAGGCACCCGGAGCAGATACTTGCTTGGATTCTCAGTCGCTGCAGCTGCCAGGCCCCAGTGAGAAAGAAAAGCGACGTGCGGGTGGTGTCTGAGCTCGGGTCCAAAACTGTCTTCCTCCTTGCAGTGATTTTCCAAGTTGTGTTTATATCTCCCTGGAACTCCCCTGCTTCCCAAGGCCAAGAGGGAAATTTGATGTCATGATTTGGATGGATGGGGGAGATTTCTGCAGAGAGACGGCGAGAACGAAGGGTTGGAGGATTTTCCTCTATGCTGGATGTGATGGGTTCAGAATAGGCCAGGGTCCTTCCTGGTCAGGGGTCTGGGGACAGGGATCTGAGGGCGTGCCCAGAAGCTGCAGGGAACGGGGCCTGGACCTGTCTGGAGTTGGGCCGACTTCTGGCCAGCAGAAGAGTGGAAAGGATTATGAGTCTCTGTTTGGGGAAATAAATTATTTCTATGTCCCCCTCCCCATCATAAAAATAAGACAATACTTAGAAAAAAATTTTTGGAAGAAACACTTCAAACCATTAACAGTGGCAAGGACATGAGGTTTGAAGTGTGTGGAGCAAAAATGAAGCATAAACCCTTATGTGATGCTTGAATTTTTTTTATAATTCAGGTGCCCTTGGTTACGTCTGTTATCCTGGTGTAATTATTATGATGGCTCTTTTCACTCTCCAGTGTCCCATTTGGACCATAAAGTCTAAGGTCAAGTTATTTATAGGCCTGTTTTGACTTTGTAGTAGAGATTTATATGCTTATTACAAGATGTTCAACAAGCAGAGAAGGATGTAGCAGCTAAAGTAAAGATGAGCTAGAACCTCCCTATGAAGTTGGCTGTTTGGGGTCATGCAAAGAGAAGCTCTGGTGGCCCAGGAGGAAGGCATAGTGGTGGGGGGGCCCTCAGAGCTGGTGGGGTTCCTGTGGTCAGGCATGACTCGCAGCCCCTCCAAGCTGGCTTCCCAGGAGATGGCATCTGCAGGAGCAGGCGTGTTTCTCCCCTGTATGTCTGGACAAGGTGGGGTCCCCAAGATGCCATGCAGGGAGGACTTCATCCCTCCGAACGCCGCTCGTTCTGCCTCATCATCCCCAGGAGCCCTTCAGGGCTGCACCCTGCCAAGCTCAAGTTGGCATGAGTTAGGTTCTTGAGGGAGAGGCTGGAAGAGGGAAATCCCCCAGCGAGGGGAGAGGAAGGCAGGCCTTGGAACAGTGCCCTCGGGGCCAGGCGGGTCCAGCCACTGGGCAAGGCTGACTGTCACCTCCCTGCAGATGCGCCCCAGCTATTGGAGCTGCCCCAGGATGTCACCGTGGAACTGGGGAGGAGCGCCTTCCTGGCATGCTGGGCCACGGGTCGCCCACCGCCTACCATCACCTGGCGCCGTGGAGATGACCAGCCTCTGGGGCCCAGGCCAGGCAGCAGGACTGGGTGGCCCGATTCAGGGGTGCTGTTCTTTGAAAGTAAGAGATTGGGGCTGGGGGAGGGTGGACAAGGGAGACAGGATGGCTTTTGACACCCTAAGCCCCCAAACTGGTCAACTGGGAGCAGGACACTGACCCCTAGAACTGGCCATGGGTCAGGCTGATGTAGGGTCATATTTCGGCCGCGTGACTCTGGTCAGGTCACTCCGCTCCTCTGAACCAGTCACACTAGTAATAGTGACGGTACCTCCTACCCTGGTTTAACAACAGTCCACCTTAAGGACCTACTGTGTGAGTAATACACGCAAATCCCCTAGCACAGTGTCTGACACATATTAAGTGTTATATGTGATAGCCATCATCCTCACCATCATCTTCCTCATTATCAATTCCATCATTACCACCACCATCATCACCATCACCATCATCATCACCTTTATTACTGTCATCATCACTATCACCACCATCATCACCATCACCACCACCATCATCACCATCACCATCATCATCACCATCCTAACCATCATCATTACCATCACCATCATCTTTATCATTATCATCTCAATCCTCACCACCACCATCACCATCATCATCACCATCATAACTATCACTGCCCTCATCATCACCCTCATCACCATCACCACCATCATCACCACAACCATCATCATCACCATTATTTTCACTACTGTGCCAGGCCGGATGCCGAGCACTATATTTGCATCATCTATTGATCCCTCCTAATCATACTACAGAGTGCAGTTATTGATAAATTATCCCCTTTCTACACATGAGCAAGCCTAGGCCTTCTCACCTTCCCAAGGCCCGGCTGTATCCCCTATCCTTCTCCTCCCTGCCATCCCAGCCTTCCTATCTGACCTCTGCAGGGCCAGGCTGTGCCAAGGGTGCTGTTGGCACCTGGGGAGCTGGAACCTGTGGGGGCTAGAGGCAGAATGTGCTCTGACAGTCAGGTCTGCCTTTTCCTGCCCCTCAGGTGTGGTCCCCGAAGACCAGGCCCCGTATATCTGTGAAGCTCAAAATGTCTTTGGGAAGGTCCAGGCGGAGGCCCACCTCCTCGTGACTGGACATGGTTCGCTGGTGGATCTGGAGAGGAGGGGTTTGGTGGGGACACTGGGCCCCCCAGGGAGGCCCCCATGGCTGCCCGTCCTTTTGGACAGGAGTGTCCACAGCCAGATTCTCCTAGAGGAGCATCTGAACCCCTACTTTCTGGGTAGCGTGGCCCAAGAAGTGTGCCGTTTGACCCTTGGGGATCCCCGATCCTGATGCCCCTCTGGGTTCTGTGGGGAGGAGGGAGAGGGGAGCGAGGGCCTTGGATCCCACAGGAAGCCGGTGTACCAGCACCGTCTCCTCTCCCTGCAGCCCCGCCACAGATCGCCAGCAGTGCCTCCACCGTCCGGGTGCTGGAGAGGCAGCCGGTGTCCCTGCCCTGTATCGTCCTGTCTGGGAGACCCCGCCCCGAGAGGCGCTGGCTCAAGGCCGGCATGCCTGTGAGTGCTGGGCCCCTCTGGGTGCCGCGGGCAATGTTGTGGGGAGGAGGGAACTGTCACATTAACACCTCGACCTCTGCTTTGCGTTTCCCCTGTTTGGGAGTGTCTTCTCCCTTCCCTGCCTCTTTCCAGAACTTTCTCTGATAATGCACTAGTAGCATCCTTTACCCTCTCGAGTCCTTGTGCTTCATTTGTGCTGCGACTGGGGAGCAGCAGTTTGGTGGGGGCACAGACACAATGCATTCAGCCGTCGCCCCTGTTCTGGCGGTTCCATGACAGAGGCGAGATCTGTGCAACTGAGCATGTGCCCAGCGGCCTGGCACACTGCTGGGCGCACAGTGGCTGCTTTACCCGCTCCCATTCTTTTGGATTTCTTTGTTGTTGCTGTTGTTTAGTCGCTAAGCTGTGTCTGACTCCTTGTGACCCTATGGACTGTAGCCTGCCAGGCTCCTCCGTCCATGGGATTCTCTAGGCAAGAATATTGGAGCCGGTTGCCATTTTCTCCCCCAGGAGATCTTCCTTTCTTAGGGATTGGACCTGAGTCTCCTGAATAGACAGGCGGATTCTTTACCGCTGAGCCACCTGGGTCCCTCTATTTCCCTTCTCCGTTCACTCCTCCTTTCCCTCCTTTCTCCGGTCAGACATCTGAGGTCCTTGTGCCCAGGAAGTTATAAAAAAGGTGCCCTCACGCCAGAACACATCCCAGAAGACGCTGGACACCCAGGGGAGGCAGCAACTGTGTGCCCAGACCGCTGCCCTGGTCCCATCCCCGCTGTCCCAGCCCCTGACGCAAGAGGACAGACAGGGTCCAACTCACAGAGCGGGCAGGCTCTGTGGAGGCTGATCACGTGGGTGCCCCTCTGCAGGATCACCAGGAGGAGGACCCTGCCTGGGCACACGGGCTGGGGCAGGGAGGAGCATTCCCCAGTAGAATCCGATGGGCATGAGGGGAAGGGGTGGCCCTGGGCCTCGTCCACGCCAGGACAGGGAGTGACCAGAGATGCAGAGCCTGTTTTAGCTCAGCGGGGACACTGGGTGGGTCTGCTCCTGCCCAGATGCCGGTGGCAAAGAGCAGAAGCCCCCTCAAGCTTACTCATTCCCAAGGGGTCCCAAGACAGCCTGGGAACCTCTCCCAGAACCCGAGAGCAGAATGTGCAGCCAGGCTCGAGGGACAGAGACAGGGAAGCCCAGAGCGGGCTCACCTGGCGGAACGGTCCTCACCAAGGATGGACTGGCTGGGCATCTCTGCAGAGGTGGCCCCAGGCCCCATTCTGGACCAGCTTCCCCTGCCCCAACCCGGTCCTGATGGGGACACACCTGGCCAGCCACCAGGAGCTGCTCTCTCTGGGACCACAGCTGATGCGGCCGCACCTCCGCTCCACTCTGCATGGCTCGGTTCTCTCCCCGAGGACGGGCTGTGCCTCCTCTCTGTGGCCTTGGTGTGGACAGGCCTCGGAGCTCCAGTGCTGACTCAGTGAAGGCTCTGGCCCCAAGCCTACCCTCCTGGGAGTGGCTCCTCTCAGCGTCCTTGGGTCAGATGTCCTGCCCTGGACCAGTGGACCTTGGGCGAGCAGGGTCAAGGGTATGCCGGGGGTCAGACCCACCCGGCCCCGAGGGTCCGTGGGGGCTCATGACTACCCGGGAAGGGATGGGAATGTCACCCCCAGGCCCCCCACCATCTCTGCAAGCCCCTGACCTCTCTATCCAGGCTGTTCCACGCTGGGCTGGTGGGCAGTGAGGTTTCTGGAGTTCTCTTAGCAGCTCTGAGTGGGGCCCTTGGTCCAAGCTGATTCTTCTTCGCCCACACCAGCTCCCACCGGGCAGCCGGCATTCCGTCCGGGCAGACGGCAGCCTCCACCTTGACCAGGCGTTGCTGGAGGATGCCGGCAGGTACAGCTGTGTGGTCAGCAACACGGCCGGATCTCAGCACAGGGACGTGCAGCTGGTTGTCCAGGGTGAGTCCTGGGCTGGAGGCGGGGGCAGCATGGGGTGGGTGACGGTGCCCACGGGGAACTCGATCCAGAACACCTCTGTTCAAAGAGACTGCACACACAGTACGTGTTCACTGTAGGAAATTTAAAGACTGGGCCAAAAAACTCCAAAACCAAAACCGACCTTCCATAATACCAGTAACTAAGAAGAACTGGAATAATCTTACATTTGTTGTGTATCTTTCATACTTTATACACACATGAGCTTCACATGTACACGCTGTATATATATTTATACACATTTATATAAATGTACATATACTTTTACATGTACATTATAAATATTCTTTATATATCTTGTATACGTTATTTTTGCATGATATACATTCTGTATATAAATTATGTATACATTCTTTGTATACACATACATAGAAATATTTAGAAACCAACTGGAGTAATATTACTGTCTTGCAACCCAAGTATTTCTTGTGACAATATATGACGTGCTTTCTGCTAATAAGACTCAGACTGCATGTCCTGTGTCTGGATGAACCAGGTGTATCTAACCTGCCCCTCAACCCTGTCCAGTGTCACCTGCGTGAACACCTGGGGATAAACGTCCTGAGGCCCCACCTTTGCCCATGTGACCAGGTCTTTCCCTAGGATACACTATCGATGTGGAATTGAGTTTTGACTCACGGAGACTGCACATTTTTAGGGCTTTTCATGTATTTGCCCAATGACTTTCCCATCCACAGGGGGGGAGGGTCCCTGTTTCCCTTCACCACCCAACCAGGTACCACCATTCTTTTTAACATAAAACAAAAGTTTAAGTCCAGTTATATTTTGTCACTCACTGCATACATCAATATCCTCTTTTTATTTGTTTCACTTGCTTTATTAAACCCCTGAGGGATGAGTGGGAAGAACTCATTGTTCCCCATTTTGTAGTGGAAAACCGAAGCTCAGAAGGAGGCTGGGTCTAGAACCCAGCTGTCCTGTCTCTTTACACTTCCGGTTAAAAACAGTGACCAAAAGTGGGGTATGCGTCACATCCAGACCTCTAAAAGGGTGCTAGTTTTCCTAACCACTCCAAGTGGAGGGTTTAAGAGCCTCCACGCTCTGAAGTGAAGGAAGCTGAGGCTCCAAGACGGAGGTAACTCAGCAAGTCATACCATCAGCAAGGGCTGATTCTGCTGAAAGCCTCCCCCGGAATTCCTTCCCCGAACACAGCCCCCCCCACCCCACCGTGGGGATAGACATCAAGCTCCGCCCTCCTGGCTCATGTCACTTCCATTCAACAAATTCTGATTGACTTGCTGGCTTTGGCCACCTGGGAGAATCCAGAAGGGCATTCCCCGTAGGGAACTTGGTGTTACCGTCAGAGCCCTTGGCTTCTGGCCTTCCTTCCCAGGTCTGATTTCTCCATGCCTGGTTCCCTTCCCCTGCTCCTCCTGCAGACAACCCCCCCTGCTCTGCCACATTTTAATGCCTAAAAATCTGGATGGCTCCCAGGATGGATTCTGCACTTGTTTTCAAGTTCACTGTGTCCTGTCAACATTCTTTTCTGCCACTTCTCATCTGTCCATCCCCAGAGAGTGAGCTGGGAATTGAAGTTACTTTAGCTTTTTTTTCCCCCCCTTTTTTTTTGCTGACCAAGGAATACGGGTACCAAAAGATTAAGTGATTTATCCGAAGTCCCACAGTAAAGACACAGCACAGCTGGTTCCTAGACACAGGCTGCCCTCTGTCTGGGACACGAATTTACAGCAGCGGTGGCCGTATTCTCCTGCTAAAATGTTATTTTTAAAAATCATGATAAAATATACATGATATAAAGCTTACCATTTTAACCATTTTAAAGTGTGCAGTCTAGTAGCATAAATTAAGTCGCATAAGTGGCATTCGCGTTGCCGTGCCACCAGCTGCATTTGCCCAGCACGCATGCTTGTGCGTGCTGTCGCTTCGGTCGTGTCCGACTCTTTGCAACCCGATGGATCGTAGCTCGCCAGGCTCCTCTGTCCATGGGATTCTCCAGGCAAGAATACTGGAGTGGGTTGCCATGCCCTCCTCCGGGGCATCTTCCTGACCCAGGATCAAGCCTGTGTCTGTCTCCTGCATTGGCAGGCAGGTTCTTTACCACTAGCGCCATCTGGGAAGACCCTTGCCCAGAATGCAGCAAGCCAGAACACTGAGATGCTGAGGCTTACTGCAGAGAAAGGGTGTGTTCACAAGGCAGTCAGGTGAAGAGACAGGAGAGTAAGTCTCAGGTTGGCCTCCCCAAAGGCCAGAGGCCTAGGGTATTTATTAAAGAAGTAGTGTGGTCTTAGGCGTGGGAAAAGGTGACTGCAGGCAGGGAAGGGGCAAGGTCATCAGTGTTCTGTGCAGGTGTCCCTGGGTGACTTGCTTCTTCATGAGATGCATGTCCAAAAATGGAGGCACCTAGCGTGATCTGAGGGTGGGGCTTTTGGTCCTCTGATGTCAAAAAGTCACTTATCAGACACCTGCGTAGACCCAGTTTTAGGGTCAGTGGTCCCAATCAGTCTTAGTTGGCTTCTACTTTAACTAAACAGCTGACTTCCAATTGTTTTCTTGGGAAACAACTCAGACAAACATCTTATTGTTTAGGCTACACGAAGCTTGAAGGATATGCAATTTGCAATGAAACAATTAAGTGAGCTTGCTCAGTGAAGGCAGGCTCAAGCAGAAGGGTATGCAGCAAGCTGTAAGATAAGCTCAAGAATTTCTGTTAGTTGCCGGTATTGTTAACTCCATGGGGCTCAGTTTGGGGATGGGTTTTTAACTCCACGGAACACAGTTTCACAACCATCACCACCATCCATCTCCAGAACTTTTTCAACTTCCCAAGTTGAAACTGTACCCACCAATTCTGCATTTCCCCTCCCCCAGCCCCTGGTCACCATTAATTCTGCTTCCTGTCTCTATGAATTTGCCTGTTCTAGGTATCTCCTATAAGTGGAATCTTACCCTACTTGTCCTTCCATGTCTGGCTTATTTCACTTTGCATAATATTGTCAAGGTTCATCCATGTTGTACTGTGTATCAGATGGTTGTTCCTTTTGTAGGGCTGAATAATATTCCACATGTACACATCACATTCTGTTTATCTATCACCCTCTGATGGCTACTTGGATTGTTTCCACCTTTTGGCTGTTGTGAACAATGCTGCTGTGAACTCTGGTTTATGAAATTGGTTTGTTTTTGAAAGTGCCACCTAGAATCCAGCCCACTGCCACCCACCATATCACCAATGAAGGCGTTCCAGCCTCTCTCCCCTGTGTAGCCTCAGGAGTTCCCACCCCAACCATCACCTGGACCAAGGTAGGTGAAGCCTGTTACCATAAAGGTAACCAGAGAGGTAGGCCCAGTGATCAGGGGGAGAGGAGCGATGCAAGTTGCCGTGGGAGGTGGGCTCTGCTGATGTCACCTGTGACTCTGCTGCAGGAGACCAATGCCCTGGCCTCTGGGGATCCCCACTACAATGTGAGCAAGGACGGCACCCTGGTCATCCCCCGGCCGTCTGTCCAGGACGCAGGGGCCTACGTCTGCACGGCCACCAACGCAGTGGGCTTCTCCAGCCAGGAGATGCGGCTTTCTGTCAATAGTGAGTGATGGCCACCCCTGTTCTGGGAGAGGGGCTGGGCAGGTGTGGAGGCGGGGGCATGTACAGTCTGACCTCCCCTGCATCTTCCTGGCACCCTGGCAGCAGCCCTGCCTCTAAATGCTTCCTGTCTGCAGATCAAAGCTCTCCTGCCTCTGAGGACTATCCCCAGCAGTGTGGCCACGCTCTAAGAGTGGCTGCAGCTCAGTAACTAGGTGGGGAGGGGGAGAGACCTTCATGTTGACAAGCCGGGGAAAGACACCAAGCCTTAGACTGGACTCCCACCCCTCAGCAGCCCCCTTGCCCACCTTTCTCCACGACTCTTTGACTGTTCGTGCCCAGAACCTCTGGCCACCTTTCAATTTCTTAAATGACCCGTCCTACCTCAGGGCCTTTGCACACACAGTTCCTTCTGTTGGCATGCCCTTCCCTCACTTCTGGTCCACTGACTTCTCCCATCAGTCAGATCTCAGTGCTTTCTGATCCCTCGGGCTGAGCTCTCTGGAATTTCCCCTTCTTAGCGCCCATCACAACTGCCATTGAATAATTAATTGTGTATTGAACTGTTCGGAGCCAGGGTTCCCCTCGGGCCCTAAGTACGGAGGGAGACTGGGCATCAGCTGTTGGTTAATCCCATTTATTCCTGAGGATAAATGGGATGATCCAGGCCAAGAAGGGAGAGAAAGGAGGGAGGAAAGAACCTGCCAGAGTGTCCCCGGGGAAGGGGAGCAGGATGGAGAGAAGCTAGAGGAACATAGACGTTGGGGCAGGAGGGACCATGTTGGGGTCAGCAAAGCAAGATGAGCTTCCAGAAGTGGGGGGGTGGACAGGCGGAGGGGAGGCTGGGGGAAACCATCGGATCTGAGCCCAACCCGAAACCTACGCTCTCCCGATACAGCAGAGCCCACCTTCCTCTGCACCTCCGGGGTGGCAGTACCACCTCAGCTTCCTAGGGGAGCCATGCTGGTCCTCTGCGGGCCGCATCCCATGGCTTCCCGCCCTGCTCATACTCCCTGCATGCTTCCGCCAACAGCCAAGCCCAGGATCCTCGTGAATGGGTCACATGCAGCAGACAAGCCTCTGAGGGTCACAGCCAAGGCCGGTGATGAGGTGATCCTTGACTGTGAGGCCCAGGGCTCTCCACCCCCACTGGTCACCTGGACCAAGGACTCCCGCCCCATGCTGCCCATGACCGACAGGTAACCCCAGCTGCGTGGCCTCGGGTCGGGGGATGGACAGAGCTTGATGTTTGGGGAAACTGACCTCAAGGTGTCCAGTGACCCAGCTGGTGTGTGGGACCCTGTGTATGGGGGGCGGGTACCTGACTGATTCCACAGGCAGTGCTTTTCACCCACTGGCCTCTAAGGGAGCATGGATGCCCTTCAGAGGGGCAAGGCCTCTGGAATAACACGCATATGGCCCTTCCCGCACAGCCAACGGGCGCTGCCTGTAGGATCGCCTCCTATCTGCTCAGCCGCCCTTGCTACCTGAGTGGAAATGAGGCTCAACCAGGTGGAGTGAGCTGCTCGTGGTCACTCAGCTAGCAAAGTGGAACGCCATGGTTGGGACCGCCTTCTTGAGCAAGACATGTGCTCCATCCTTGCCTGCTCCTCCAACCCGGTGTCTGGCAGCCGGGCTTTCAGGGGTCCTGGGAGTTGGGGGGAGAGGGAGGAGGCTGCCCTTCAAAGCCAGGCCGAACCCCCACCTCAGACAGGGATGTAGGGCAGGGTGGTTCCCGACAAGAATGCCTCAGAACTCCTGGGGCCCTTGACTCTCGCCGGGTGGGGGTGGGGCGAGGGGGCAGCTCCAGCTGGTGACATCAGTCCTGGCGAGGTCTCTGAGACGTTCCAGATGGAGAAGGTCTCAGAGTAGCCTGCGGTGCAGCCTCCACCCCGCCCCCCCCCCAACACCCACACATGGGGCTCTGCCTCTCCGAACATCTGTTTGGTGACCCTCCCAGTCCTGGAAGCCTACACACCTGAATGAGGCTGGGGTCCGTGACCGGGCTGGTTCTGTGACGCCCCCACCCGCATGCCCTCCGGTGTCTCTGGAGGCTCCATGTTGTGGGTGGGCGTGGGGGCCGGAGGAACCTGCCTCTCTCCCCAGAAAGCCCGGTCCTAGCTCCTTGGCTGGACAGCCGCCGGCGGGTGCTTGTTTATTTCTCGCTTGTTACTGAAATGGAGAATCGCAATTCCCATTTGTTCGCCCCTCCTTGTTGTGATACGTTAATAGATCAGCCGGGAGCCATAAATCTGTGAAAGCTGCTTTTGCAATCCTAGAGTTTTGTTCTGCTTTTTCTCCCTTGCCCCCTCCACTTCTTGCTGGCTTATGGCTTTCTCTTGAGATTTATGAGATTCCGGGAGTTCACCTACATGAAAAGGCAAAATATGCCGGGGGGGGACTGGGGTGAAGGGCAAAGACTCTGGCATTAAATCAGACCTGCCTGCGGATGCTGACTGCTTATGTATTAGTCATGTGGCCTCAGGTGGCCCCTGGCTCCTCTTGGCCTGTTTCTCCATCCATAAGGTGGACACGGTTTAAATTCTGCTTTCAAGATACAGTGATGAATGTGCGATGTTTGGTGCATTGTGAGCGGTGGAAAATCACCCCCTTTGATATCATTTTCCTGCTGCTGCTGGAAACTAAAGCACCATTTCCAGCTTTTAAAAAATTATCATCATCATATCTAATATCCCATTTAATTCTCACTGACTTTTTTCAATAGGAAAGCTTTATTGAGATATAATTCACATGCTTTCCAATTATATGTTTTTTTAGTAAGTTCTAAAGTTGTGTAACCATCATCGCAATTAATTTTAGAACATTTCCAGCACCCTCCTCCATGAAAATATCCCCACACTGGTTGGAAGCCACTTCTCATGCTTTCCCCACCCCAGCCCAGCCCTTGGCAACCACTACATCTGCTTTCTGCCTTTGGATTGATCTGCTCTGGATGGTTCACATAAATGTAATCATGAACAACGTGACTTTTTTGTGTCTGGCTCCTTTCACTGAGAACCATGTTTTTGAGGTTCCTGCGTGTTGTAGCAGGTGTCAGGACTTCATTCTTTTTTATGGCTGAATAGTATTCTGTTGTGGTGATGGGCCACCTTTTGTCGATTTATTCACCAGCTGATGGACACTTGGTCTGTGTCCTCTTGCTGGAAATTGTGAATAATAACTTCACCGACTATTGATTATATCTTAGCTTCATTCGTGGGTTCTGCGTCCCTGTGGTTCTTTGGGCCTCCCCGTGGCTTCTGATAACTTCCCCGAACAGAATAGAGCTCAGTTTTCTTACCAGACACACAGTTCCCTTAGTCCCATGGCCATTTAGCCAGAAAATGCGGATTTGAAAAGCCCGTGAGGCAAGGATGGGCTTCCCTGGTGGCTCAGCTGGTAAAGAATCCGCCTGCAATGCTGGAGATCTGGGTTTGATCCCTGGGTTGGGAAGATCCCCTGGAGGAGGGCATATCAACTCACTCCAGTATTCTGGCCTGGAGAATCCCCATGAACAGAGGAGCCTGGTCAGCCATGTGCTCGAAAAGAGTCGGACACGACTGAGTGGCTAGGCACACACACAAGAGGAAATGTCTGGAGGAGGGAGAGCTAGGGAGGTTGGGATGGGCATGGACCCACTGCTACCTCTAAAATGGATAACCAACAAGGACCTACTGTACAGCACAGGGAATTCTGCCTAATGTTACGAGACAGCCTGACCGGGAGGGGAGTTTGGGAGAGGATGAATAGATGTATACCTACAGCTGAGTCCCTTTGCTGTCCGCCTGAAACTATCGCAGCATTGTTAATGGGGTATATCTCAATATAAAATAAAAAGTTAAAACAAAAACAAAAACACCCGTGGGACACACACACGAAGCACTGATGGTGGTGGGGAGTGGGTGGCCTTGCTGTCCGCTGCTCTTCCACACTTCCTCCTCCATCTTTTCCATCTCCCAGGGACACGCTGCTGCTCCCGTCCCACCAAGGCTCAGCTTCAAAGCTGGCATTCTGGTTGCTTCAGAACTTATTTTGATGAGTCGCGGGCAACCATCTGCCTCCAGAACCTGAGATTCTTCCGCATGGCTGAGCCACGCCCCTATTCTGCCACACCCCTTCCGCCTTGCTGGGCCACGCCCCTACTCTGCCACACCCCTTCTGCCTGGCTGAGCCACGCCCCTACTCTGCCACACCCCTTCCGCCTGGCTGAGCCACGCCCCTACTCTGCCACACCCCTTTCGCCTGGCTGAGCCACGCCCCTACTCTGCCACACCCCTTCCGCCTGGCTGAGCCACGCCCCTACTCTGCCACACCCCTTCCGCCTGGCTGAGCCACGCCCCTACTCTGCCACACCCCTTCCGCCTGGCTGAGCCACGCCCCTACTCTGCCACACCCCTTCCGCCTGGCTGAGCCACGCCCGTCTTTCGCAGTGGCCCCTTCCTCTGTCCTCTGCTGATAGAGGGCAGGGGGAAGGCCCGAACTGCAAGGGTTGCCCAGGGCCTCTTTCCTGATGCTGTGCCGACCCTGGCCAAGAGGTTGTGGTCAGGGTCACCAGCAGACCTCCAGCGCTGGTGCTCCATGGTGACTCTGGGGCAATCAGGGCTGAGTTCCGCAGTGTGGCTGAGCCTCTGAGGCCTCCTCATGTTGGGCGAGAGGTTGCCCTCTTCTGCTGGCCATCCTGGAGGTGGGTGGGGTGGGCAGGGTCCTGCACACTGCACTGAGGGAGGAAACAGAAGCCATGGGGGATGGGGAACCAGAATCCTGACTTTCCTTCTCCTGGGCAGGGCCCTAACACACACACACACACAGCACACACACATGTGCATGTGCGCAGACACACATAGACGTGCACAGACACCTACAGACGTGAATGCACGAGGACAGGCACAGAGACACAGACGCATGGCCATGCACACTGCATAGACACAGTCAGTCCAGTTGAGTCGCTCAGTCATGTCTGACTCTTTGCAACCCCCTGGACTGCAGCACGCCAGGCCTCCCTGTCCATCACCAACTCCCAGAGCCTAC